AGCCATAGTTATATTGCTATAATATAGTAAATAAAAAAAAGCTGACCCACCCAAATTGACACTCCTACTGAGGGGGTGTAATGATACGCTGATAAAATTCAAAAGCCCAATAACTTGAACGAAATACAGGTCTGAATAAATTAAATATAACATCTATCCATCGAAAGGTTGTGTAAAAAAAACGTAATATGTTAGTCATGCATCTGGACATATACTATAGAATTTATTTCATATAGAGACAAGGCCTTTCCATTTTATCCAAAGTAATTATTTACTTTTATCCAAAGTAATTATTTACTTTTATCCAAAGTAATTATTTACTTTTTTCTGACCATTTCTTGTCTTCTCAAGCCTCAACTTTCAGTTCATCAATTTTAAAGGAAAAAAAAAAAAAAAAAAAAATATAAAGATGGAAAATGCAAAAGATGGAATTATACAATTACTAAAAATAAAAGATAACACAAAAGAAATATCAAAAAGAAACCTCTGACATATGAAAGTAAAAATTATTTTAGCAGGGTTAATGCCACATTGAAAAACTAACTAAATCAGACAGCTTGGTTTGTTTAGGTAAGATCATACAAGGTCCATAGGAATTATCTGTTTACGATATATATATATATATATATATATATATATATATATATATATATATATATATATATATATATATACATATATATATATATATATATATATATATATATATATATATATATATATATATACATATATATATATATATATATATATATATATATATATATATATATATATATATATATATATATATACATATATATATATATATATATATATATATATATATATATATATATATATATATATATATATATGTATATATATATATATATATATATATATATATATATATATATATATATATATATATATATATATGTGTGTGTGTGTGTGTGTGTGTGTGTGTGTGTGTGTATTTGTGTGTGTGTGTGTGTGTGTGTGTGTGTGTGCATAATGAATGCATACATATATATGCGCATTTACATACAAGAATCGTATTACATAAACACAACTAAACTTTTATTTCCATTTATTCGTTTGCAAGGTAACATGATGTAGATATCTAAATTTTCCAGGAATACCCATGTTTTGTTAATGAATAGGAGTTTTTTTATTTTTATTTTTATTTTCATATAACACAATACAACCTTTAGTAAGAATAAAATGTACTCTATACACCCATACCATTTTTTTCTTCTTCTTTGGTTAGTATTAACAAAAACAACACTGCATTGTCCTCGATTCTTCTGCAATTCTACATAATTCTACACAACCAATGCTGCATATCGCGTCCCCTTCCAGTTCCTCAATATTTACTCTTCATCGCCTTGTCCTTATCGAACCTCTTCGCGGCGAAAGCACTGACGTCGTGCTTGGGCGCCTCCCCCTGGACCATGCGGCTGAGCACTTCGCCGACCACGGGCGCGATCTTGAAGCCAGTGCCTGGGCGAGGGAGTCATGAGAGAGTAATGGGCGTTGGAGGGTGCAGAACGGTGCGTGTTAAGTATTAGGTAAGATTGCTACGACAATAATGATATTAATAGCAACGATAATAGCAATAACAATGACGTTGATAGCAATAGCAACCACAGAAACAGTAATAACAACGATGATGATAACAACAGCGAGACCGATACATATATATGCGCATTTACATACAAGAATCGTGTTACATAAACACATCTAAACTTTTATTTCCATTTATTCGTTTGCAAGGTAACATGATGTAGATATCTAAATTTTCCAGGAATAAGACTACTACGACCATAATGATATTAATAGCAAGGATAGTAGCAATGACAATAATAACAGCAACAGCAATGACGCTGATAGCAACAGTAATAACAACGATGATGATAACAGCAAGAACGATAAGCAGAGGCGCGAGTACCTGAGAATCCTACGGCGTACAGGATGTTGCGGTGGCGAGGATGGCGGTCGAGGATGAACTCCTCATCGGGCGTGAGCTGAGGCGAGAGGAGCGGATTAGGAGGCCGATTGGGTGATTGGGCGATTGGCGTTTACGAAAGGAGAGGAGGAGGAGGAGTGGCTGGCGAATCGAGTCGTGTAGTCTTTAAGAATAGCTATGTGGGCCTTTAATTTTTGCTCTTTTGACTGTTTTTATCTCTGTCTCAGGCTGTCTATCTGTTTTTTTTTTTACATTTGTCTTTGCTTGCCTGCCTCGCTCTCTCTCTCTCTCTCTCTCTCTCTCTCTCTCTCTCTCTCTCTCTCTCTCTCTCTCTCTCTCTCTCTCTCTCTCTCTCTAAACTCTATCTAAATCGACTGGTTTATTTGTATTTCTATCTTTCTATTCATCTATTTATTCCCCTTCTTCTCTCCCTCCTTTTTTTGTCTTTCTCTTTCGCTCACTCCTCACTTCCCCTCCCTCCTTCTCATTCTTTCCTTCCCTCCTTTTCACTCTTTCTTTCCCTCCTTCTCACTCCCTTTCTATCATTTTCTCCCTCCCTTTGCTCTCTCTCCTCCCTTTCCCTTTAGCTCTCCACCTCTCTCGCTTCTTCTCCTTTTTCCTTTAGCTCTTCACCTATCTCCCTTCTTCTCCCTCCCCCTCTAGTTCTGCACCTCTATCCTTCCTTCTCTCTCTCCCTCTCTCTTCCCCTTAGCTCCCCACCTCTCTTCTTCCTTCTCCCTCTCCCCTTCTTTCCCTTGGCTCCCCGGCTCACTCCCCCTCCCTTTCTCTTTCCCTTTAGCTCTCCACCTCTCTCCCTTCTCCCACTCACTTTACCTGTAGCTCTCTACCTCTGTACCCCCCACCCCTTTCTTTTTCTCTTTCCCTATAGTTTTCCACATCTTTATCTTCTCCCCCTCCTTCTCCCTTTCCTTCTTTCTTTCCCCTTAGCTTCCCGCCTCTCTCCCTCTTTCTCTCTCTCCTTATCTCTTTCCCTCTAGCTTTCCAACCCTCTCTCTCTTTCTCCCTCCCCCTCTCTCTTTCCCCTATAGTTTTCCACACCTTTATCTTCTCCCTCTCCTTCTCCCTTCCCTTCTCTCTCTCCCCTTAGCTCCCCACCTCTCTCCCCTTGACTTACCGTGTAATAGCACAGCTGCTCGAAGGCATACTGCTCCGCCAAGTCCGGGAAGTAATTCTTGAAGTAAGAAATCGACTTTTGCCTCAACTCCGATATGTCAACTTCTCGGCTCTGGTTCGGATCCTTTTCCACGCCGTCATGGAGACCCACCTGTGGAGAGGGATGGGGAAGATGAGGGAAGAGGCGGATGATTGGGAATAGGGAAAAGGAGGATGAAAATACCGAAAGAGAGGAGTGAAAAGGGTATTTTAGCTCCCTCGTCTGTCTATATGAAGTAAATCAAGTGGTAGATGTTCTTAGGCTTCTTTGCGTTTAGAGGCAATGAAGAAATATAAAGAAATATATGTTTCGTTAAACAGAGAGAAGTGCAGAGACACTTGGCAAGTTGGCTATAATTGTAATTTAATAATTCATAAGTTGTTCATGACAATTATCTTAAAAAACAACAATGTCTTTGGACTTTCAGTATTCACCCATTCACCAAATGTATCTCCACTTCTATTAAAATTATATTAATAGATAAATAAAGTGAAAATAAACGAAAACTAAGCATATTCATGTTCTCACCTTGATATGCCCTGGGTGCTCCATGGCAGGAAGCGCATAGTAGTGGTTGTTCTCGACGGAGCAGTCCACGAAACTCGAGAAAGGGAACTGCTCGTTGCGGAAGTACAGTGAGGTCGTCCGCACTGATCTACGGACGCGAGAGAGTGAGTAGTTCGTGGATTGAAAAGCGGTGCAGTTCAGGACAAAAGGGGTAAACAGAGTGCAAGAAAAAGACAAAGTGAAGGAAAGGTATACAGATTGATAAAGTGATATATGTATGTATATAAGCATGTATAGTTCTGTCTTTCATAAAGCGTCGACGATTGCAAATCATTGGAGGAAAAGCGAGGCGGAGCGGAACCTGAGAGGCAAGTACACGCCGAGGTGCTCGAGGACGTGGCTCGCCCAGGGCCCCGGGCACAGCACCAGCCAGCGGGCCCTGATGACGCCCCGGGGCCCGAAGATCTTGGTCCAGGGCTCCCCGGGCTCCACGCCCACCACAGGCCACCCGTCGAGCACGCAGCCGCCCTCGTCGCGAAACAGCTTCTGCGGCGGAGAGGGGCGGGGCCGAGCTCAGTGCCCGGTTGGCCATGCAGTCTCTCTCTCTCTCTCTCTCTCTCTCTCTCTCTCTCTCTCTCTCTCTCTCTCTCTCTCTCTCTCTCTCTCTCTCTCTCTCTCTCTCTGATATGAATCCTCCACAATTTCAGGGCAATATCAAACAAGAAAATCCCCTCGACCAGTACTTTTGACCGCCTCTCACCTGGACCGCTATGAGGCACCTGTCCGCCCTCAGAACCCCGGCCGTCGGGTCCTCGAAGGCGTAGTAGTCGTCGGTGAACTTCGATCTGAAAGGGATCGTGTTGTCTCTCTTCGAAACACGTATATCAGCATCTATATCAATATCTCAGTATCTATTCTAAATTTTTGATTAATGATTCTTGGTATGGTTAATTCCATCCCCCATGGTTTGAACCGTAAAGCGTTTAAAAAATTCTCAGAAAATCTTGATATGCAAAGAAGCAAATCATATATTATCTGAACGAAACAGATATGCTTTACACTATATCCATTCTAACATAACCTAATACTGCATACTGTATAACGTTAGTGAAGCAACATCAAGGCTTGATCTTAGGAATATTCTAAAACTTAAGCCTGATTTTCGGGTTTACTGCAAGGAAGTCTATCAGAGGTCATCCTGTCCTTATCCACTCCGATTTCGCTCCGCAGGGGACCAAACGGAATTCCCAGGCACTGAGGTCCTGAGAATCTCAGGAAATTCCCTTTCACCCGGTTGGCAGCCAGCGAGGCACCCGTTGGGCCGGCGCTCCCCCCGCAGCCCCACTCACTTGTACTTGGCGTTGGTCTGCCGCATGGAGAGCCAGGTGGGCGCGTGCCCCGTCGCTTCCACGGACGCTGCCATCTTGGACAGCACCTGGAGGTCCTTCCCCACCACCAGCATGGGGGCGGGCCTGGGGGGGAAGGGGGGGTGGGTGAGCTCTCAAGGTAAGGGGAGGCAATGGGGGAGTCTATGAAGGGGTTGTGCTTGTGAGTTGTGCGAAAGGGAGTGTGTAAGCGGTGTGTGATACGCATAGAATGAATATACAAGCTATTAGGATATGGTATTATGGAATGAAATTTGCCAAGGAGAGAAGGAAGAGGAAAGAGCAGAAAAAGGTCTCTCCTCTAACGACAAAAATCCTTACGAATCGGAGCCTCGCTTGCCTTATGAGCTCCTCGTGGGCCTTCTCTGAGATCTCCTGCCACAGCCTGAAGCAGTCGTCCATGATGGGCGTCAGTTCAGGAATCCCGAAGTTGGCCCTGCGCGTGATCCTGCTGAGGCCGGCACTGCTGCCCCCGAGGTTGGGCAGCGCGGACTGGGGGAGGCAAGGGAGGGGGTTGGGAGGAGGAGATAGTGCTTGGCAGAACGAATTTCACACACATATACACACACATATACATATGCACACTGACAGAGAGAAAGAGGGTCAGCAGCAGACAGACACGGAGAGTGAGAGAGAGATTCATAATTTACACCTCAAGGTTTATCATTTATTCTTTACTTTCCTTTCACTTTTCAAATTCAAGCCTCATGTAATTTCATAACAGAATTAGAACATAACATATGACTGTTAAGCATTACCAATGCAATGAGGAATCGAACATTTATAAGGATTTAAACACCCAAGGAGTGTCTATTTTTCCAGTGCCAATATCTGAATTAATAGTTGTATCATATAAATTGCAGTGCTGTTATTATTATTGTTACATTGTTATCAATCATTACACTGACACGGATGTTGTAATCATAAGCAATGGAGATGATTCGTTACAGCTATTTATTACAAGGCTTTTCCTTGTCCAGATAAAATAACACGCGTGAATATTACTTAAAAGCACGATTTAATTTGCCAAATCATATATACGATGATCGCCATTTCTCTGTAGTTCTCTCATGCGACTGCCCCGATAACTAGCTCACTGGTAAATCGTATTTGATAACTCATACAGGTCCTCATATTGGTTAACTCATGTAGGTCCTACTCAATGACTCTTTCGTGGCTGAGCACTTAGGAACTATCTATGTATATTTAAAAATCACAGAACAAAATTACAGTGGGCTGCCCATACATGCACCCGGGAGCATAGGGTTCAGGTGAAGAAGTTTTGAGAATGGCTGTAGTCAGGTTAAGATAAGGGATTTCCACCTGAGATGGTAACAGTTCTGGAGTTGTTATGTTGTGCGGTTTGGTCTTTAATCACTTAGTTCATATATACGTGGGGTGGCTGATTAGAAATAGGGGGAAAACCTTAGCGTCTCTCTCTGTCTCTGTCTCTCTTTCTCTGTCTCTTGCTCTCTTTCTCTGTCTCTGTCTCTCTCTCTCTGTCTCTTTTTCTCTTTCTCTGTCTCTTGCTCTCTTTCTCTCTTTCTCTGTCTCTGTCTCTGTCTCTCTCTCTCTCTCTCTCTCTCTCTCTCTCTCTCTCTCTCTCTCTCTCTCTCTCTCTCTCTCTCTCTCTCTCTCTCTCTCTCTCTCTCTCTCCCTCTCTCTCTCTCCCTCTCTCTCTCTCCCTCCCTCTCTCTCCCCCCCTCTCTCTCTCCCTCTCTTTCTCTTTCTGTCTCATTGCCTCTCTTTCTGTCTCTCTCTCTCTCTCTCTCTCTCTCTCTCTCTCTCTCTCTCTCTCTCTCTCTCTCTCTCTCTCTCTCTATATATATATATATATATATATATATATATATATATATATATATATATATGTATATATATATATATATATATATATATATATATATATATATATATATATATATATATATATATATATATCTTTCTCTGAATTTTTGACATGAAAACGCATCACACGACCACGTCAAGAAAGTTAATAGACATAGGACATCAGTAACCTACAAAGACCAGCAAGTCATGGTGAATCTGTGATACTCCAGAAATCCCTTCCTCGTTTCTCTTTGCTTAAATGGCGTAAAAAATTCAATTTAATACGTGTATTTAGAGAGAGAGAGAGAGAGAGAGAGAGAGAGAGAGAGAGAGAGAGAGAGAGAGAGACAGACAGACAGACAGACAGACAGACAGACTGACAGACAGACAGACAGACTGACAGACAGACAGACAGACAGACAGACAGACAGACAGACAGACAGACAGACAATCAGACAGACAGACAGACAGACAGACAGACTGACAGACAGACAGACAGACTGACTACAATAGCCTCGCGTCTTTTCCCTACCGAGTCAACCGAAGCCGCCGTTTACCTTGTCAATCAGCACGGTGAACTTGCCCGCCTTGGCCAGGCTGTAGGCGGCGCAGCTCCCCATGATCCCGCCCCCCACGACGGCCACGTCGAAGGA